TAAAATTAAAGGTACTGACAAACAATGAATTATGCAGATATGAACAGTGCCTGCAATTGTAGGACAGGTTTAAGAGCTCAGTCCAACTACAATTAAGGCTTTATGATCCACATTGCCTTACTGTGCACTGCCATGTGGTTAAAATTGGTGATTTGGCAAACTGGGGCATCTGATACGGCACAGAAGGTTGGAACACGGAATTTCCTTCAGAAATAGTTACTTTTCACTCAAAACAAGAAAAGTGTTGACTGAATTCTAAGTTTAGTTTGGCTGGATTAAGTTTTGTTTTCAAGGGTTCTTTAAAGTTGTTCAAAATGCACACTTTTTTGTGCAAGTAGTTTTACAGGACTTTAGCTTTTATCTTTAAAAAAAAAATCATTGAAAACTTATCAGCTTTGGTCTCAAGGTCTGTATTCGGGCATTTCTGCATTCTCTGAATAAGATAATCTGCCCTGATTCTGTGGCAGGGAAGCAGAGAATTGTGGCTTTTTAGCCCAAAGAATGCAGAAGCAGAGACCCTTCCACTGGGGGAGGAAAGTAATTAATATTTAATGCTCACTCAAAACACCCACGTGGAATTTCTGGTGAGTAGGGGGCTTTATAATCAAGGGCACAAGGCAAAGGGAGTTTTTTTAAGATATTTTCAAAACAAAAACATTCTTTCCACTCTCTCATTTTTCAGATAAAAATGTCATCTGCATATTACTGAAGGAATAATAATCTTCCCAATGGTTTTAAGCCTATAGTTCTTGCCAATGGCTTAAAGTTAATATCTCATCTTGTATATACTACATCAATAGCTAATAGTTTTGATATTTAATACAATTGAAATATTAATTACGTGTTCATAATGAATTAGAGCTTCCTGGTAAAAAACATACCTGGCTAGCATTTTTTAAGGTGCTAAGTCTCTTCTACAATAGTTCAAAATCTTGCAGTGAGTTGTTGGCAGAGATGATTGGTTTTCATTAGGTTATTTGATAGAATTTTAAAGACTTTTGGTCTGGAATGAAAGCAGTTATCTTGAAGGAATGCAACAGCACTAAATTTTTACAGTAATAAAATCTGTCTTACAAAATGCCATTACTTTTCAAATAGTTTTTTCTTGTTCCTAAGTTATTTTCACAGCTTTCTTTCCACATACAAAATACAGAAACAATAAGTGGGTTATCATTTATGACATATAAGAACAAAGGAGGTGGATTAAAATGATGCCAACAGTTAGCTTGTAATGCTGATTGAAAGTGGAAATTCAAATTAGAGCAGTGATGTGACAGGCAAGCCCTGAAGTTATCACCTCCAGTAAAAAAAAAGTAGTTCTATTTATCTCTTTTCATTTGAAATGCGTTAGCATGATGTGTCAACTAGACAAATAGGTAATGAATTTCTTTATTTGAAAGATAATTTTAATATATGTAGTGATATTTAATTTTAAGCACTTCACTCTCTCTGAAAGTTCTGTCTCTGCAAGTCTTCCAAAATGCACTTCTCAGTACCTTAGTTAAGAAAAGATTTATTATTAGGTTAACAAACATTGTCTTTTGGTGTCCTGTGTTTACATAAATACTAACTTTAAAGCAACTCCCGAATGTTGTTTTCAGACAGAAATGTGCATCCTAATATAAATCCATAACATAGGCTGATGGAATGGGATTTGGCCATTTGACCTCAAAGACTGAGTTTGGATGGCATTTGACAGCTGGGTCCCTGTCAGTTCTTTTCTTCCCATCCATGTATATTTTGCCTTGCATTGCATGCCAGTTTTGCAGTATAACTGTACTTATTTATGGAATTCTGACTTGGAAGGGTTAATCACTTATTTTCAGTATTAGTACTGAAGCCAGCTCGTGGCATTACACTACTTTTTACCACTTGCTCTGGATCTTGTTCATTAGAGCTAACCACAAAAAGAAGTTCTTGGCTCCTGCAAAATAACTCTCACCTATTCTTTCAAGAAATCTGCAAAGCGTGTGGCAGGCTGCCTAAACCCAGAGGTGCTGGGCTCACATTTACTTGAGTTTGAGGCTTGCTGCTCCTCTTTTTGTACAGCTCAGATACCCATCCTCAGCGTAAGCTATGCTGGATGTTATGGTCAATAGATACTGATACGTATCGCTGGCCAGAAAGGAGTTTAACAAACTGGATCCCTCCTGGCTTCGTGTATTTTAATGAAACCAGGAGACCCATCACTGTGAAGAATTTTTTTTTTTTACAAAAGAGTAAATCCCACCTAATGCACAAAAGTGTGAGTGGATGGACTAAACCAACTTCTAGCACCTGCAGAGCTTCTCTTTGTAGAGCTGCAACTCCTGCTTCTAAGTTATAAAGCCACCGCTGTTCTGTGCCCTTCACTTCCAGGCAGTCATCTGCCTATGTTCTGTATCCCAGAGAGCAAAGCCTCCTGCTTTGAAGGTGACATTAGCATGTCCCTGACTGGTATGCAATTCCCCCAGTGGAAAAGACCCAGCTCTGACTTGTAAGTGTGCACTGAAAGTTGCACACGCAGACCCAGCTCAGAAAAAAAATCTCTGTTAATATCTTAAAACTCTGTGGAATGTCTTACCTGAAGAAACTGGGAACACATATGTAAATACATATTTCTAAAGAACAAGTTGAGGACTGCAAGCACAGCAGCGTGAGCACAAAGCAATTCAACACAAGGCTGCAATGCTGCTGCAGGTAAAAGGATGCGAGCTGGCAGTCCCTTCAGGCAGCCTTGCCTCTGCCAGAGATCAGTTTCCATGGTTGCAGGAGCCAGGACTTTCACAAACATTCACTAAAAATAATTTGTGACACAGACAATTCCTGAACTGTGTAACTGAGTGCTGACATTGCCAGAGACAGACTTGTCTTTGTGTTTTGTTTCCCTTCAGGCTGCGAAAGAGACCCAACAGACAACTAATACCAAAGTGAGTAGGATGATTCAAGTTATCTGTATGAATAATGCAGTCAAAGGGTGATTATTCCCGTTGTCATTTTCAGTCTCAAAGACACTTTTAATTTCTTAATCAATTAATCATCTTTGTTATGAAGGGTGGGTTGCTATACAATTTGTTTCCTCTGTTCAAGACATTACTTCATTTGAAAGGACAGGGCAATGCAGCTCATGAGCTGCACCTTGTTGCGTCCTGCACAATGATGGTCCACTGCATGCTTACCTGTTGTACCAGATGATGCCTGAACATGCTGCAAGTATCTTGTCCTTCACATGTTTCCAATAGCCTATGCGTTCATGTTTCTTTCTAGAGCACTGAACAGCAGCCTATTACCTCTGTAAAATCAGACAAAAACGTCCCTTCCTCTCAAGAGCCGCAGACGACTAAGCAGAATACAAAAGCCCTCGAGCCTGCAGCCCAACAGCAGGCAGCAGCCACTGAAGCCCCCAAAGAGGTGACAAAGGAGAAAGCATCATCCACTCCCATGCCACTGAGCAAGCTCTTTTGGAAAAAGGTATGTCTGGATTTTAGAGCTGGTCCATCCCACAGCACCATCTTCACACAGTGTCTAGAGTTATTGCTAAGCATAGAGTTACAGTAAAGCAGTTAAATCTGCAAAGTTGAGCGTGTCCCGCATACTAAATGCATGAGGGGCATAAATAGTATATGCAGTTACAAACACGTACGTGAGCTTTGGGCGGTCACATACACGTGGCTAATAATGGCAGTTAGATTCCTGTAGAAGAAACTTATAAAACTGTGTAGTCCTTTAAAACTGTTTGTACTATTTTTTAATACTATTATGGAAGAAGGAATATTGTTCTGTCCATTCAATAAACTTGTTAAAAATCCTACAGAGATTATAGTAGTCTTTACCAAATTATATCAATAATAGAGATATAGCTAGAAAAAACACATTTCATTTTTATGAGAACTGTTTGATTTAGTTCTAAATGTCTGAAAACCTGGAATCTGGTGGGTTTATTCTTACTCAATAGATAAAAGTTTCATACCACAATGGATCAGCCCTTAAGTTTGGGGATTGAGGTCGATTGCTTGGAAAGACGTATTTTTCCTCAGGTTAAGTAATGTTTTTAACTAAAACTAGGACTAACTTTAAAAACATGGTTCCTGTTTCCATGATCCTCAGTGGTTTATAAGCTGAAGGCTTATTCTTTTCTCATTTCATTTAAGAGAAGACCTGTATTAAACTTTACTGAATCACTGTATGTTGAATAACTGCTTTCCTGGGCTTCTGTTCAAGTTTAAATCCCAGAAATGAAATGCTCCCAAACACAGAGATGAGCAGCTAGCCCTGCAACTTCTTTAGCTGTATTTTCCCTACTGGGCAATGATACTGGAGATACAGTTTGGGTATGTTACTTATATTAAAAAAAAAAAGGTGTTTAGATATTTACAGAGTAAACATGCTTGAAAACAATCTAAGCTTGAGACTTAATTTCCTGTGGAACTGGGTGAATCAGGCTCTTAGAATGAGAGGAAAGTTGCGAAGAAGAGGAAGAGGGAGGTCTTTAATATAGTTGTTATTGCTACAGAAACTCCTTCCTCTGAGTAGTCTGGCTTACTTGAAAACAGAGATGGGAAGCAGGATGCATGCTCAACATCAGGACAAAATAAGAAAAAAAAGAGGCCTTCTGGCAAAGAGTTGTATGCAGTTTCAGTGTAAAACAGAGTAATAAATCTGGTCTGAGGTTCACTATTTTCATAATGAAGTAACAAGGTCCCCTGTGTTTCAAAAAGAAAAAGCATGTAAGAAGGGAGCATTTTCTTGCAGAAAAATAATGAAAATCACTCCTGTGGAGGAGCGATTAGTAGTGATGGTTGGTTTAAAAAAAAATCTGATTAGTTTGGGTTAATCTTTCAAAATAACATTTTGAAATCTTACCAAAACCTTATATAGTTACAGATATTTTACTGTTTTGTATAATGGAGGTTCTGCCCACAGTGAACAACAGCTCCCCATATCTCATAGCTAAGCTAAAACAGGTCTAGGTACCTACCCTGTGTCTCTCTAACCTCACAACAATCTCCACTGAAGTCCTGGGATCTCAAACATCTCAGGGGTATAAACCTTGTACCAAAACTCTGTCTTTTACTTCTGTTTGTTCGTAATGTTGGGTTTAATTTATCTTACATCATCACTAAAATAAAGCTGCTTACATCAGTGAATGGAAAGTGTAGAGAACTTTCTACAACTCCAAGCAGGTTTTGGTTGCTACCAAAAATATTAAGGGCTAGTTAAATCACTTACCCAAATGCACTGAACTACAATAGTACATGAAACCTGACTTTTAACTGGATAAAATGAGGTCATTTCTGCTTAGTTAGAACTTCTTGGGGCTGGAATAGTCCCGAGACCAAATGTTTTTGCAAGTTTTCTGGAGTAAATTTCTGCAGTAGAGAACTGAGTTTGGTCCTAAGGATTTTAAAAAAAAAAAATCTGCCTGCGTGAGCATTGAATCCTTACCTATAAAAAGCTGATGTTGCTTTACTGGATTTTCTTGACAGAGAGTAATATTATATTTCCTTTGAAAGACCTTGGTGACCCAGCCAGTTTGAAGCTAAAAAAAAAAAAGAGGATAGATGTAAAAAAAAAAAAGTCCTTAGACTACAGGTTAGCCTCAAACTCAGCTTGGTTCGAAGACTCTGTCTTTTTTTTTTTCTGCAGTGATTTTATCTTTCTTTCTGGCACCCTTAATGTACTGCCCTTTTGCTAGGATAGAGAATCGAAGCTAGCAACTGTTCCAAATAGGTGTATAATTCAGTCGTGTAGTTTTTCTTTTGAACTAACAAATAGCAACCACAACACTCAATAGATCCAGGATTCAGGTCCAGCTTCTCTCCTTCCAGGCAGCCTCTCAAATATGTATCTTCTGATGAGCTTTTACTTCAAAGTAAAGCTAATGAAGTGCCTGTCAACATGTTGCAGTTAATGCCGCTGCTCTGACTACAGATGTATATGTAAAAGATAAATATGTAAAAGAAAAAAAAAATCCTCATTCAACTCCTCAGATGGAAACCACTTCAACTGTATCTGCCCCATTTCCTGATCAGTCTGCACAAAAGTTTTTATAACTATTACTCAAATATTTGTCATACTAGCATTTTTTTGCAAATACTAAGGAATATTAATAGAAAATTACAGTTAGTGATTTCACATATTTGTGTTGGAAACCTGGTTTTCAAGACCTTGTAGATATCTGATCAGGGCAAAGAAACATGACGCTTCATTTATATCTGATCAAAGCATGCCAGTAAATGATAGAGGAAAGTGATTGAGGGAGTATTTAGACTGCTCTGTGAACTATCTTTAAAAGCAGATATATTTTTTAAAAACTAGAATCTTAAGCTGTTGCAATTCTGTTGCCATACAAACACAGAAAAATCATGCCCTTTCTACTGAGGGGTATTTATGCACTGGTAATAAAACAGCAAACTGGTTAGCTATTAAGTGAAGCAGGATAACACCTTTTATTGCTGAGCTGCAACCATACTCTGCCATAGGAAAGCGAAGATAAATATTTGGGTGGAGTGTGCGAGATAAATGTTAAAATTACCAAGGACTTATCGAGTTCCCATATATTCCAGGATGGGAGCAGTTTACCTGCTCCCATCTTGGAATATACCACCTGTCAGGTAGGAGTGAAGGAGATTCTGGCCATTTTTTGCTGGGTAAATGGATGAAGAAACTTTAATGAGAATTCCCCCTGGTAGAGGGAATGAGGAGGACAATAAGCAATGGGCTTTTGAGGGACATCTCACAACCTGACTGCTGGCATAGGTGCCATTCTTACAGCAGGGAGGGCCCTTAACCTCCTCGACCCAGTGAATAAAACCAGTAGGACTTGTGGGTCAGAACCGTGGTCCTGGGCTGTTTACAGACCAGTGTGGTTTAACTATAAGCTGACGGGGATTAATTCTAATTGGTTAATAGTCTGAGCTGTTATAGCTCATGATCTGCTGAGTGGCACCTTCAGGCAGCAGCTGTAGGTCACAGGGGGCTTCAGGGCGGAGGTCGGAGAGCATGTTGATGGCTGAAGCTGAGCTACCTTAACTGCAGCAACCTCTGTTGTCTTTGCATTGGCAAAGGCGGGCAAGCAGGTGGGTTAAAGTCTCCCTAACCCTCTCTGCTTCCTGCCTGTGAGTCGGCAAGTGGCAGGAACAGATCTCAAGCACGACCGCTCTTTTAAGTGGAAATTTCTTGAGCAAAAGGTCATCTCTCATATATATTGTTAAGATAAAAGAAAAGCTGCTTCATAAAGAAGGTATGACCCAGGAAAAATACAAGAACTGTTCCTTGAGTCTAATGAAATGCCATGGAGAGTGCCAGTTCAGACTCTAGCACAAGATCAAAGCAGGGTATAATGTTTACCTCAGATTTGAGGAAAGATGCAGCAAGGAAAAGGAAAACTCCTATCAAAGTTATCCAGGTCACAAAATAAGTTACACTCTCATAAGGCAACAGTTTGTATGGTCAGGAACCTAGATAAGAAAATGGTGTAGCAATAGTTCCCCAAAACAAGAACGAGAAGACGACTCAAAGAGTAGACACAAACTTTCCACCATAACTGTTTTAAGTAGGCTTATTACTAGTAGAAAACTAGTGACACTGTCATTTAAGAGATGGAAGAATGCTTCCCAAACATAGTGAAACAAAAACTAGTAAAAAGTAAAATACTCTCCATGGTGCATAACAATAGCTGCTGACTTAGGTTGAATTTATTACAATTTGTGTCTAAGGAAACTGGAGACAGAATTTGGACTCATGAATCCAGCAACCTCAGTTGATGCAATTTATAGGTATAAGGTGATAACTTACATTTGAGAATTTATGCATTAAAGACTTATGAAGCTGATAGAGTTGGACTCTTTGTAAATTATTATTATACACAAACTGCAGTTTAGTCCTAAAACTAGTCACAAAACTTGATATAATTTTTGTCTTTCTCCCAGGTGAAGTAAAGAAGTAACTTAGCCCATTGCTCTAGAGAACCGTTTAGGTTAATGTAACATCATTCAAAGTTTATTGACTTTTTATTTTTGTCAAGCTCTTCCCATTACACTTTCAGTTCCTGCCAGAAACACCTTGCAATTCTCTTGAATGCACAAATGGAAAATTTTCTTCCAGTTTCTCAGGGGAAACAAGAACAAAAATCAAAAACGCTGTTCTTAAGTGTGTCAGAAAACCTTCTTAGCTGAAAGGGGTTTTCCCTTCTACTGAAAGACCATGCACAGATAATCTCTGCATCTCTGAAGTACACAATATACCATGTGTCATCAGTCCAAGAATCTGCCACCTTGATCAGTCTTATTTGAGAGAGTTTTGTGATGTCTCTAGAGTTTCCTTTTGCCTCAGCATATCTGAGTACCCTGATCTGATTGCATGGAAGTTGTGGAACATCCAGCCTTGGAGATACTAAAAGCTCAACTTAATAAGTTCTTCAGCAACTTTGAGCAGGAGGTTGGACTGGGCCTCCAGAGATATCTTTGAGATCACAAAATCATAAAACAAAATCTTCAACATCTATTAATTCAGTCTTACAGAGGGAGATGAGTATACAAGAATGATTCCTGGAGATAATTACAAGAAATTTATCATGTTTCTTTAATAGCAAGCCTAGATCTCAAACAAGATAACCTGCATCAACTTTGATATGCTCAATAGTACCAAATTAAAGTAACTGCATAGCTACATTGGATATCTAAGTTAAAAAAAAAAGTAAAAATAAGGTATTCTAAAACAGGATTTAAACTTTCCTAAAGCCTCCTATGGAATACATCAAGAAATGTACAAAAAGTCACTGATTACTTTAAACAAATCAATCTCTCTGAAGAGTTGACTATCACTTAGCTCTTTTCTTTATTTAAATAGACAGTGCTTTTCAAAGTTTGGCATCTAGCCCCAGGATGCATTTGTTATCAGTAGTGACACTAATGCCATTGCATAGACATAGCTTGAGAGACAAAACTCATGTGGGTTGCAGCTGTAACAGCGTAGCAGTAATGTGATCCCAAACTGTAATCTTTGAATGATGAGCACCCAGAAGCTAGGTTGCTGCTTTATTGAGCCACTGTTTCAACTCATGCAATGAATCATTTCCTTCAAGCAAATAGATGGTGAATTGATTATATGTATGTGTGAATAGGCAGAAATATAGATTAAAATTATTATAGATTGTCTCAAAAATGTTCATAAATATAAATTAAATCTACAATTCCATGGGGAAGTGGGCTGTGCTGCAGTCATCTCGGGCAGCAGGGGACAAGGAGTATTTATTCCCTCATCATTCTCTCCCCTACCCCACCCCCAAAATGCTAATTTCTTCCACAAAAGAGGAGTAAAGAACAAAGCAAAATCTCTCATGCTGCTGTAGAAGTCCATGGCGAGTCCCCATCTTGCATGTGGAGTTCCCCCAACTCAAAAAGAATGACAGAACTAAAGGGTAAAATACTGAGAGAAAAATGCTTAAATACATTGAATGGCTTCTGTATCAAGAACTACATCAATTAGACTTTTTTGCTCAGAAAGGAGTTGGCAGAAAGGAAGATGACAGTAGCATACAGAATGACTACTGTAACATAAAAGGTGAACAGGAAAGATCAGTTGTTGCTCAAAAGCAGTAGAGAGTATCAAATGAAATTATTTAGTGACAAACGAAAAGAAAGTACTTTTTTAAAAAGCATACTTTAGCTGTAGAATTCTTTGCCTTATTATACTGCTGCATGTCAGGAATTTATATCGATTCAGAAATTGTTTAGCTAAATTTCTGTAGGAAAAAAATCCATCAAGAGCTATTAAACTAAAGATACTACATGGGAATCACCAAGTTGAAGACAATTGGAAAAGTATATGAGGGCAGTAGTACTGTAAGCTGCTGCTGGAGGAGACATCCATTTTTGCCACTGAGTCAGGATCTGGGGCTGCAGAGAATCTTTGGTGTTACCTTTTAAATTGTTCTTGTGTCCATGTGGCTAAAACTAATTTGGTCAAAATAACAATGAGTATGTATTACATGTGAGTTCCGCTAAGTACATGTAAAAATTGTGAAATGTAAATAATTTAGACTTATTTACAGCAGTTCTTTCCTATAGTAACCATACCATGCATTTCAGCTGTAACCATGCTGGTATTTTAAGCAGCAGCATGCGCTGAAATGCCAATACCTAGGGTAACGGCTTCTATTTGATTCAGTGTTGGAGGCTGAGGGTGCAACTTATCCTGCTTTTATAGGGTTCTGTACCTTTCTGCAATAAGCTGCAGAATGATAAAGGGCTTGCTTCAGGTCAAATTACCTGGTTATTAGCATAATAGCTTCCTTTTATGGCAGAAAGGAAGATACTACTTTATACAATTACAGTGGGATGGGAATTAATTAGTAGTTCTTGAAGGCACAGAAGAATGTTATTTACCAGGGCAGAACAGTCAGCTGAGGAAATGCATGTTCAGCCTCCTGCCCAGCTGTGCCTCCACCTCCTACAGCAGCAACGTGCCTCCTGTTCACATACTCTGCACTGCACAGGTCGTCTTGTTCAGCTAAAAACACTGAGCATTCCCAGGATAGCCTTGAGAAGGCTGTGGAATGAGACATGCAGGAGATTAATCGATAAATCTTATGGGGATCCATATTTCAGAGGAATTTACAAACTGTATGCCTCTGGTTGAAGTACTATTAGAATAGAAGGAACTTTCCGGTAATTCACAAAAGCTCAGCGGGACCCAAAATCCTTCCATAAAGGCAATGCTGCTGAGCACCCAGCAGCTTTTCTTGAATTCAAATGAGGGTCATCACTATCAAAGAGGGTGACTGTGACCTGTGGGATTATGTGAAGTAACAGATGAGCTACTTAACTACCTTGTACCTCAAGAAATCATTCACATCTTTACAACTGGGAAGAGGAGCTAGTGCTGCAAATGTGACCAGCCTGAGAACACTGGGACACTGCACTTCTGTGTTTCACTCTCTAAGAAGGGTGCTAAATGGAGTTTTGATGATTAATAAAGCCCATGGTGTGTTTTAATTACTTAATCATATATTCTTTTGTGTGCAAACTCCTGGGTATGACCTTTCTCATTTTTACTGGCTCTATCTTGTCATCTACTCACAGCACATAGTATTGTAAGCGTAAGTAACTTTGTTTAAGTTTTCTTTTTGAATCATAATCAAATATAAATTATTGTGTTTGGGAACTGGTACTGCAATTCAAGAAAGGCTATTTCTTCAGTTTAAACAAGTATTTAAAATCCCACCAGCTTCTATACTTTTTTGAATTGTGATGAATCAAATTCCCGAAAAACCTATACAGGGACAGCGATGCTGAGAATGCTTTCATGCCAAGTTTGTTCATGATGTACCAACTTACTGTACTGCTGAAGTACTTTGATTGTAACCTCTTTTAAAAAAACCCTCACTGATTAAGCCCGAATGTTTTTTCCACTGTCTTAATATTTGCCCAAAATAACCCCAGAACGCATTGGAAGAAGCAGAGACCGTAAGCAATGAGAAAGCAGACGCCTCTTTAGAAGCTGTGGCTCCTGACAAAGATGAGAGTAAGAGCCCAGAAGCCACAGAAGTGAAACCTAGAAGAGAAGAAAGTAAAACCCCCAAAGCCAACCTGAGGAAGTTTTTTAAGCTGGTAAGCAAAACGCTAAATTTCAAGGGGTTTGTGTGATGTGTTCATTGCAAGGCTGGGGGTGGCAATTCTCGAAAAATCTTTTGAAAACAAACGGCTGCAGGAGCGCAGGAGTGACGCTACCCCCATTTCCAGGGGTGGGTGCGCGCGCGTGACCGCGCCCCGCGCCCCTGGGCCCCCGGCCG